TATTGATGATGATGAAGCTGCTGCTCCTAGTCCCCTCGTCTGCACCACCACCCTCTCCTCCTCCTGCCCTAGCGGCGGTAAGCTGCTGCAGTCGTGGCGATGGCAGACGCTGTGCTCCGCCTGGACGTGGAGGGTCGGGCGATCGTCTTTGAGGCATGGCTCGCCGACCTTCGCCGCTCGCTGAGGGGACAGCGCACACCCGCTGAGCGTGAGGCCTTTGCAGCTGCTGAGCTCGCTCCCTCCGTTTGGGAGTCGCGTAACGCAGTTGCGCAGCTTGCTATCAGTCGCGCCCTCCCCCTGTCTGAGCGCCCCCGCTACCAGGCCGATGACCAAACCCATGAGTCGCTCCATGACTGAACCAGTACGAGCCACCTCCATCACCAAACCGATGCGTCGCCCAGCGACCCTATTCTGTTGCGGGGAGTCCGGCAGGGTGTACGAGTAGGTGATGCCCTCCGCATGACAGAGCTGGCCAAGCCAACCGGAGGCGAACTCGCCGCCACGGTCAGAGTGGAGACGCAGCACAGGAAGGCCGCGGTGGACTCGAGCAGCTACGACCCACGTGATAAGAACGCTAGGCACGTCGACCTTCCGCTCCAGGGGAAACACCGTTGTGTAGCGCATGTTGACAAGCACTAGAAAGTAGCGCTCGCGACGTGGCCCAGGGACGGGGGTTGGGCCCCAGACGTCCAGGTGCAGGGTCTGGAGTGGCGCAGTCGTAGGGGGAAGCGAGGAGGAGTGAGGAGCATGGCGCAGCCGGCCCTTGACACAAGGAGTGCACAGCAGCGCCGGCCCTTGACCCTGCGTCTGTTCCTCTCCTGCCATCTCCTCCTCTTCCTGTCTACGGCCCTGTGTTCCCTCCGCCGGACTCGTCCCCGGCTCGTCTTCCCCCCCGCTCCCCCCTTGTGTCCCCTCCTCTGTCTCCTGACCCGACGCCTCCGTCTCACGTCTGGTCCCGCCGTCCCTCCCGCGCTCGTCCTGTCTCCCCTGTCTCGCGCTCTCACCCTATGGTGCTCCGTTCCCACGCGTCTCGTCCTCCCCTTCAACCATCGCCTCCTCCGTCCTCTCTTACTGTTGCGCCTCCTCCTCTGTCTGACTACCTTCATGCTGCTCGTCCTCTTGTTCCTCGGGTCCTTGCCTCTCTCGTTACCAACCCGTCTGTTCCTCTCTCGTGTCTTGACGCTCTTGTCGCTGTGGTCGCTGACTTCGCCTTCCGCCGCCTTGACTACACCACTGCTCTGGTCTCTGACCCTGCCTGTCCTCCGTCTGTTGAAGGTGCTCCTGCCCTCGGCAGTGCCGTCCTGGAGGACCGCCAGTTCGAGCTTGCTTTCCTATCCGAGGCTGCTCCCCATCTCTGTTCCATGCTGCTAGTCCCTGAGGGTGACCCAGACGCTTTCGACATCCCGACCCCTCGCACTTTCGCTGAGGCGACCTCGGGACCCTAGGCCTCGTAGTGGATAGCTGCCATGGAGCAGGAGATGGCATCTTGGAGATCCAACGGCAACTTCGTCGACGCACTTCCCCTGCCTGGGGTGAACGTAGTCGATGGCTGCTGGCTCTTCAAGGTGAAGCGCCCTCCTGGAGAGCCGCCTGTCTTCAAGGCGGGCTACGTGGCTAGAGGCTTCAGTCAGCGTGAGGGGGTGGACTTCTTCCAGACCTTCGCTCCGACCCCGAAGATGACTACTCTTCGGGTTCTGTTACACCTACAGTAGCTGCTCAGCGCGACTACGAGCTTCACTCCCTCGACTTCTCGACTGCCTTCCTTCAGGGCAGCCTACACGAGCACGTCTACCTGCGTCGCCCTCAGGGCTTTACTGGCACCTTCCCTCGTGGGACCCAGTGGCTCCTGCGGCGTCCCGTCTACGGCCTGCGGCAGGCTCCCCGTGTGTGGCACAACACGCTACGTGCTACCCTTGTTGACCTGCAGTTCTTTCCGTCTTCCGCAGACCCCTCACTCTTTGTTCGTGCTGGCCAGACTCCGTTCTACATCCTTGTTTATGTGGACGATCTGGTCTTTGCCACAGCAGACAGGGACGCACTGGCCTCCGTGAAGGCAGAGCTGCTGAAGAGACACACTTGCACTGACCTTGGAGAACTGCGCCGTTACCTTGGCTTGCAGATCTCCAGGGACAGAGCAGCGCGCACCATCACCTTGACTCAGTCACACTTGGTGCACCATGTTCTTCAGAGGTTCGGCCTTCAGTTCCTCTGCACAGCCCACCCCTCTGCCTGTAGCCCACAGACTCTCCGCTCCAGTTCCTGAGGAGTCAGTAAAGCCCAGTGGCCCTTACGCAGAGCTGGTGGGTTGCCTCATGTACCTGATGACTTGCACTCGCCGAGATCTTGCATACCCTCTTAGCATCCTGGCTCGCTTTGTGGCCACAGGCAGACACCGACCTCAGCACTGGTCTGCCGTTAAGAGGGTTTTGCGTTATCTTGCAAGTACATCGAGCACGGGGTTAGTGCTAGGAGGACGCAGGTCAGTTGTCCTTAGTGGACACACAGACGCGTCTTGGGCAGACGATGCCGAGACAATCAAGTCGTCCCAGGGCTACTGCTTCAGCCTTGGCTTAGGTGCCGTCTCGTGGAGAGCTACCCGCTCCTCGTCTGTTGCCCGAGATCTACGCTGGTGCCATGGCGGCACAGGAGCTCCGCTGGCTGACCTTCTTGCTCACTGACTTAGGTGAGCGGCCTAGCTCTGCCCCGGTCCTGTACGCTGACAACAGGGCCATGATCCTTCTGTGTCAGGAGCCTCGACTCGAGGGCAGAGCGAAGCATACCCAGCTGCGGTACTTCCTCCTGCGTGAGCTACAGCAGCGCCGCCAGGCACGCGTAGTACACTTGGCCTCCGGTGCCAACACAGCTGATATCTTTACGAAGGCGCTTGCGCCTAAAGATCATCAGCGACACTGTGTACAGCTCGGTCTAGTTCCTATAGCCTCTCACTTGCTAGGGCCTTGACTTTGTATTGTCCTATATATCTATATGTACTCAGACTGGACTTGTGTCCTCTCCCAGTGGCTGGACTAGCAGTGCCGCCCTGGTCTTGATCTTGCCTTGCCTGTACTCCTTCTGACTGATCTTTTAGACCCTTGTCTCAGTGGCTGGACTAGTAGTGCCGCCCTGAGCTGCTTGTTCAGGACCTGCCCCTATGCAGTCTAGGGGGTGTGTCAAACATAAATATCTGTTATGTTTGCATAGACTATATAGGGTCACCTCTTAGAGGGTACAGCACTTAGGTATATTCACTTGTACTCTCTCACTACTCATTATTCATAATTCAGTTCTAAGAGCTCCTCCGGCGCCCAGTTTACGGCCTGCGGCAGGCGCCCCCTGAGTGGCACAACATGCTGCGTGCTACTTTAGCTGACTTACAGTTCTTCCCGTCGTGTGCAGACCCTTCACTCTTCGTCCGTTCAGGACAGACCTCGTTCTACATCCTTGTCTCCGTAGACTACTCGGTCTTTGCTACTGTAGACAGAGACGCTCTGGCCTCGGTGAAGGCTGAGCTGCTGAGGAGACACACAAGCACTGACCTAGGATACCTGCGCCGCTACCTTGGGCTGCAGATCTCCAGGGACAGAGCAGCGCGCACCATTACTCTCACGCAGTCACACTTGTAGCAACAGGTCCTTCAGAGGTTTGGTCTTCAGTTCTCCTCTGCGCAGCCCACACCTATGCCAGTAGATTACAGGCTCTCGGCTTCAGTCCCTGAGGAGTTGGTAGAGCCTAGTGGTCCATACGCAGAGCTGGTGGGTTGCCTCATGTACCTGATGACTTGCACTCGTCCAGATCTCGCATACCCTCTCAGCATCCTGGCTCGCTTTGTGGCGACAGGCAGACACCGACCACAGCACTGGTCAGCAGCTAAGAGGGTTTTGCGTTATCTAGCAAGTACATCGGGCTTGGGGCTAGTGCTAGGAGGAAGCAGGCCAGTGGTCCTAGCAGGGCACACGGATGCTTTGTAGGCCGACGACGCAGAGACGCTCACGTTCTCTCAGGGCTACTTCTTTAGCCTTGGTGCATGCGGTGTCTTGTGGAGGTCCACCCGCTCGTTGGCTGTTGCACTGTCTAGCTGCGAGGCTGAGATCTACGCAGGTGCCATGGCGGCATTGGAGCTCCGCTGGCTGACCTTCTTGCTCACAGACTTAGGTGAGCGGCTGAGCTCTGCCCCGGTCCTATACGCTGACAACAGTGCCATGATCCTCCTGTGTTAGGAGCCTCGACTGGAGAGCAGAGCGAAGCACATCCAGCTGCGGTACTTCCTCATGCGCGAGCTGCAGCAACGACGCCAGGCCCGCGTAGTTCACTTGGCCTCTGGTGCCAACACAGCTGATATCTTTACTAAGGCGCTTGCGCCTAAAGATCATCAGCGGCACTGTGTACAGCTTGGTCTAGTTCCAGTAGCTCCTCACTTACTAGGACCTTGATTCTGTACTACTCTTATTATATTCTCCTGACCGGCCTTGTGGCTTTTGCTCCAGTGGCTGGACTAGTAGCGCCGCCCTGGTTTGCTCTTGTCTTGTTTGTTCTCTTCTGACTGGTCTTCAGACCGTTGCCTCAGAGGTTGGACTAGTAGTGCCACCCTGAGCTGCGTGTCTCTTACCATGCACCGCTCCTTGTCTAGCCTAGGGGGTGTGTCAACATATAGTTGTATATGTTATAGGCTAGATAGGTGCATGCTCATAGAGGGTACAGCACCATAGCACAAAACCTCCCTGTATGGCACAATCTAGTTCATTGCGTTATTCAAACAACCGAAGCATAAACCTTTGAAAGCGTTGTGTCAACGTAAGGAACCATACTGTACTTCATAGTGAGTGTCCAAAACTGAGGTCCGGTGATTACAGCCCCGTTATTTCGTCTCTTCAAAGCATTAGTACAAGATTCAATTCCTTCGTACCTAGTACTCTCACATCAAATATGAAAAAACCACAATACAAACGAGTTGCAACTTTGCATGCTAAGTCACCTCAACTTCGGTGTGACAAGCTAGGATATTGCACTGGCAGATTTGACAGCAACATCAGTCATTTCACCACCCTGAAATACCCTGATGAATCTGGGGTATGTGAGCAGACTGTGGCATCCTAGGTTAAATCATGGCTATATCTGGAAAGCCAAAGGGTACATGCAATGTTCTGCTATGGACAATCATGCTCCCATCCCAGTGACCACTCCCGGGCTTCACGATAGTTGTTCCTCCAAGCTCAAATAAGTTAGTTGAGGCGAGCATGTTTGGGTCGATGCCAGGAGCAATCATGGCATGCAAAGAAGCCCCATCACCTCCAGGAGCATCATCAGCCGTGCTGGGCAAAGGAACTGGCACCGGGCTCATGAGATCTGGTAAAGGTATGGGACTCCCACGGAAAGGCAGGGCATGGTTGTAAGTGCGACGGGGCAGCAGGCATGCGGTATGGTGAAGGGATTCATGGCGTCTGCAGCAAGGCAGGGCCTGGTCGTATGTGTGAGCCCCTGGGGATTGAGGGCATGTACTGTGCGCCTGGAGGGTTAGTACTGGTTGCGCCAAGGGCCAGTGGCTGTTGGGAAAGAGCAGACAGGAGAAGCGCCTGTGACGGCGCGAGCGCGAACGCCTGTGACGGTGCCATTGCCAATGCCTGTTCTAGAGGCAGTGGCTCTGGCAGTGGTTGTGGCCGTGGCAGTGGCCATGGTAGTGGCAGTGGTTGTGGTTGTGGCACTGGCTCTTGCAGTGGTTGTGGCAGTGGCAGTGGCAGTGGCAGTGGTTGTGGTTGTGGCAGTGGCTCTGGCAGTGGCTGTGGCAGTGGCAGCGGCAGTGGTTGTGGTTGTGGCAGTGGCTCTGGCAGTGGCTCTGGCAGTGGAAGGTGTGACAGCAGCGAGGGAATGCGCGCGAGCTCCAGACGCTGATGACCTTTCAGCTGCTGCTGCTGGCACCTCTGCGGTGGACTCACTCCTTCCACACTCACTCCTTGTCCCACCGGGTGTTCATGCCTGTGCACCTGAACATTCCCCACCCCCGTCCCCCCTTGTTCCAGCAACCACTCTGGCAACACTGGTTCGGGAAGGCAGGCTGCCAGTGGCTGTCCCTGAGGCGCACTCGCCAAGCGCACATGGGGAGTGCACTCAGCCAGACACAGGTGAGAGGTAGGCGCGTAGAGAAGCAGAGGGTCTGTGTCATGCACCGCGCTGCATGAGCCCTTGGACGGAACCAGCTCCTGTCCCGCAGAGTCATTCTCAAAGAAGAGCGCCCCTCCTAAGCAGCTGCTAATATCCCCGGGAACAGAACCAGCCAGAGACGCGAGTTGGGTGGGCAGAGACGCTGGCAGTGCCGCCTGTAGTTGGGCGGAGGCAGGCGCAGGCAGGCACAGATGAGCCTCAGGCGCGTCAAGAGACACAGGGTCGATCTCTGGCGCCATGCTGCATGGGCCCATGGACGGAACCAGCTCCTGTCCCACAGAGCCATTCTCAAAGGATAGCGGCCCTCCAAAGCAGCTGCATATAGTCCCAGGAACAGAACCAGACAGAGCTGCGAGTGGGTTGAGCAGAGGGGCTGGCAGTGTTGCCTGTGGCTGCGTGGAGAGAGGGGCTGGCAGTTGTGCTGGCAGTGGTGCTAGCAGTGGTGCTGGCAGCGGCGGATGCGGCACGCTAAAGTGAGGGTCCTCACTTCTGGATCCCAGCAGCACATCGTCTGGAAGGGCGCTCTCCGACGCCACGCGAGGCCACACCGCCTCGTGCACATGGCTCCTCTCCCCGCCCTGCTGCAGGAAACGGCCGTCTAAGGACTGCGAGTGGCGCAGCGTGCGGCGGGCCCACCCAATCCCAGCCAGACCCAACAGAGATGGGTCCACCCTTAGCCCGCCGCAGTCCTCCCTTGCTCGCTTCATGGGCAGCTTGAGGGCAGCAGCAGCAGCAGCAGCAGCATTAGGGAACGCTGCATTGATCAACCCAGCACTGGAGACTGCAGCGGCATTGGGGAAAGGAGCACTGGAAACAGCAGCAGCCGCAGCAGTGGAGGTGAAAGCAGTGGCACTGGAGACAGCAGCAGCAGTGGAGGTGGGAGCAACTGGGACAGCAGCAGCAGTGGAGAAAGCAGCGGCATGGGAAGCAATGTCAGGGATGAAGACAGATGAGGGGTCTGCTTGTGCTGTGGAGTGAGCAGCCCCATGGGAAGCAGCAGCAGCGCTGAAGGCAGACATGAGGCTCGCCTGGGCTGTAGGGCGGCGGGCATTGGGTGAGAGGAAGACGCTCCTGCACTCATCAAACGACAGCCCGCCGAAAGTAAGAGCAGGTGATGGCGACCCTGTTGAGCCCACGCCAGCCTGCTGCTGCTGCTGCTGCTGCTGCTGCTGCTGCTGCTGCTGCTGCTGCTGCTGCTGCTGCTGCTGCTGGTCATCACGCCCCAGCAGCAACCGGCTGTGCGCCTCCAAGGCTATGTGTTGGGGGAATGCAGTGCCTGCCAAGTGTTCTCTCAGAAGGTTCTCCTGAAAGCCTTGCACAAACTTCCTGCGACCAAGCAGAGAGCCAAGGCCACAGAAAAGGGGCTCAGAAAAGGGTCAGCCCCGGCGAACGCGAAGTAATAGAAAGAAACGTGGCCTGCAGGATTACCTCCTGAGGAAGATGTAACGGTTACAGCACGACTTGTTGTTTCTCTTCAGCTGACCGCTCCTCCCCAACTCTCCCCACTTCCTCGTGCCGCAATGCAGCGCATGGCGCAGCAGAACCGCGTCCTCCTGCCATGGTGATTGTTTAGTAGGCAATGATGAGGAAAATTGTTGAGTGAGTGTGGAAGCAATGGCGACGTTGGGACCACGGGGGAATCAACATTGAGAAGAACCAAACCAAGGACGTTGAGCGCCGAGCATGGCCGTGAGCATCGCATCTGAAGGCACACGGCGAAAGAGCGTATCATCTTGAGACACAGAGAGCGCGTGGCTGAGGCGCATTCAACGCGAGTTGAGGCGCGTTCAACGCGTCTCGAGGCGCATTCAGCGTGTCAGATGCACACCGAGGCGAAAGGCATCTCAGCCTGAGGAAGGGATAAAATCCGGCGGATCTGACAACAAAAGCTCAGCTGCTCGCAACTTCTCCGAGAAGTTCGCGAGTGTTGTAACGACGTGACCTTTTGAGTTGACCCAAAATAGAGCTGCTCGTGAGAGCTTCTCCTTGCAGATGTGCATTCCACGGCGGGACTACCGGGCTGAGCGGGACTCACTTCTGCGGACCACGGCTCGACGGCGGGCGACAAGGATTGGGATTCGGACGGCGAAGCGATCCCTTGAGAGGAATGCGGCATGGCGGCTCCAGTACGAAGAAGTTGGGGGAATAAACTACTACTAGAACGCCATCGCAAGAAAACCACTGGCAGCCACGGAGGAATGAAAGATGCCGAGAGAAGACGCGGATCTTGCATCGATAGCCACTCGGCTAGCACTTGGCTTCTTGTGTGGCCGTCTGACGGTCCCACCGGCCAACAAAGGTCGGAGCACTGCTCTAGGCTTGACGCAGGCTTGGGAACCGCAGAACCTGGGGAGAGATGGCAGGCTGCCACAAGGACGAAACATCCTGACCTGAGGCCCAAGTGGCGACAGTGGAATGAATGCCAGCCTAGTCGCATGCTCCACTTGGCAATCTGCGGTCGTACCAAAATATGATGAGCGGCACGTGAAATACTCCTTTTCGGCCAAACTAGTAAGAAACGACTTTCCGTCAATGTCCTTTACAGAGTGAGCACCAACGACGAACAGCTATTGGCTGCCGTTTTCAGCTCAATCATGTAAATCGTCCAGAGCCACAAGACGGAGAATAAAATAATCCCAGTCCGTTTTGAGTGTACACCTGCTCCAAAGCAAGTTCCGTCACACTGGAACAACGAAGGACGGAGTCAAGATGGAAACATGGTGCAGGTGCTGTTTTTTGCACCGCTAAAGCGGAAATGTGTAGTATCTGTATGCGGTCAACCAAAATATGATGAGCGGCACGTGAAATACTGTACTTTTCGGCCAAACTAAGAAACGGCTTCCGTTTCCGTCAATGTCTTCTACAGAGTCAGCTCAATCCTGTCAATCGTCCAGAGCCACCAGACGGAGGACAGGGTCATGGAAACATGGTGCAGGTGCTGTTTTTGCACCGCTGGGGCGGAAATGTGTAGTACAGTATCTGTATGCAAGTACAGTAATGCATTGAATTTCGTCGTTCGGGGGCCGAGGCCAACCCAAAACAGAGCAGCAAGTGTTTCCATTCACTGCGCGCCTAGCTGTCAGCCTCAACTGTCAGCCCTCAGCTGAGGTGACCTTGGAAGCAGAATTATCATTTCATGAACTTTGGTGGACCACACACATGTGAGCATGACGTGTCACGCTCTGCTCTCGTTTCGTCTGAGTCATGTTGGACCGAAGGAAAGTACACCTGATACTATATACTATAGAATGATTTACAGGAGACCAAGATTCAACAATAGAACTTTGTCATTTCTCCCTTCTTATATCATCCTATGTACAAGAGCACCTGCCACATGCTAAGCATGAATTGGATAGGGTAGCATAAGAAAATCTCATTGCAGCCTCAGGAGCGTGGCCAGGATGACCTTGATCAATCATCAGGAATGTCTTGGGGTGTCAATAAACATATATATTCATTCGCCTAGTTAGGTTATTCATGTTTGTATAGCCTACCTAGGTCATATAATAGGGAGTATACTTCGTGTGTACATGTATCCCCCCTTCTCCATTTTCCCCCTTCTTGATCGCGCTGCTTTCACATGGTATCAGAGCTAGGTAGGGTTTCCGCACCTCACGCTTCCGCTAGTGTATCAAAAAAAAAAAAAAAAAAAAAAATCTGCACCTTTCGCTCTCCGATTTCGCGCTTTGTAGGTTCCTCCCACCTTCATATCCCCATCCAGGAGTAGAACGAAAATGTTGCTGCTCCGCCTAAGACCGTCTCTGCGCTTGTCGCTGCTATCGCTGACTTTGCAACTAGCCACCGCCTTGACTACGATGCCGCTCTGGTCTCGAGTACTGTCTGTCCTTCGTCCATCGAGGGATGCGTATGTCGTTTGGCACTGATATACTAGAGGACATGTAGTACGAGCTGGCCTACCTTACAGTCGTTGTACTCCATCTCTGCTCCATGCTTGTATCCCCAAAGGGCGACCCAGGCGCCCTCAACATCCCTATCCTACGCTCTTACGCTGAGGCGGTGTCGGGGCCCTGGGCAGCCCAGTGGATACAGGCTGTGAAGGCTGGGATGGCATCCTAAAGATCCGTAGGCACTTACGTCGACGCAGTTCCCTCAGCTGGGGCAAACGTAGTCGATGACATGTGGATCTACAGGGCGAAGCGCGAACCTGGAGAGCCGCCGAAGTTCAAGGCGCGTTACGGGGCTAGAGGCTTCAATCGGCAAGATGGTTTTGGACTTATTCCATACCTTCTCCCCTACCTCGAAGATGACTTCTCTTCGAGTGCTCCCCCGGCTAGCCGCAGCGTGACGACAAGCTTCACTCACTCGAATCCTCCACAGCCTTTCTGCAGGGTAGTCTACATGAGCACATCTACCTCCTGTGTGCACTAGGCTTCTCTGAGTCATTTCCACCCAAGACCTAGTGGAGCCTGCGCCGCCCTGTCTACGACCTTCGTCAGGCACCCCGTAAGTGGCATGACGCGCTTCACAGCACACTTGTTGCGCTGCTGTTCTTTCCGTCCTCCGCTAACCCTTTTCTATTTCTTCGCACAGGTCAGACCCCGTTCTTCATCCTAGTGTACGAATACGATCTTATCTTTGCTACTCCTGATAGAGACGCACTGGCCTCAGTGAAGGCCGAATTACTTAGAAGGCACACTTGTATACACTTGGGGGGGCTAAGGCGCTATCTAGGCTTGGAGATCTCTCGTGATCGTGTCGCTTGCACGATCACACTCTTACATTCCCATATGGTGCAGCAAATCCTTCAGAGGTTCATTATCGAGTTTTCCTCTGCACAACCCACCCCTCTGCCTGTGGATCACCCCTGTTCCGGCTAAGCCGGTAAAGGCTAGTGGTCCATACGCAGAGTTGGTGGGTTGGCTCATGTACCTGGTGACCTGTGCTCGACCAGATCTAATGTACCCTCTTAGTCTCCTTGCTCGCTTTGTGGCGACTAGTAGGCAACAACCAGTCCACTGGTCGGCTGCCAAGAGGGTACTGCGGTATCTGGCGAGTACATCAATGGGGCTTGTGCTAGGAGGACGGGAGCCTGTGGTACTTACTAGACACACAGACGCGTCGTGGTCAGACGATTTGGAGAAGCTCATGTCGTTTCAAGGCTACTGTTTTAGTCTTGGTTCTGGTGCAGTCTCATGGAGGTGCACCAGGTTGTCGTCTGTAGCTCAGTCCAGTTGTGAGATGGAGATCTACGCTGGGGCCATGGCTGCACAGTAGCTCCGTTGGCTGTCTAGGTCACTGACTTAGGTGAGCCGCCTAGGTCTGTTCCGGTCCTGTTTGGTGACAACAGGGTCATGATCCTCCTGTCTCAGGAAGCTCGACTTGAGGTTAGGGAAAAGTTCCTCCAACTGCGGTTCCTGCTGAGTGAGTTTCAGCACCGTGGCTAGGTTCGAGTAGTACACGTGGCCACAGAGGCCAACGCCGCTGATATCTTTACGTGGCCGCGTAACCATCAGTAGTTTTGTACACAGCTTGGTCTCATCTTAGTAGGAGCGCCACTCTTTATATCCAGATATATTTACTATACCTACTTGTACTTGCTATGCTATACTGTACCTACATGTCTTGCTACACTTGCTGACTGGCCTTGTGGCCTCTTGTCTCAGTGGTCAAACTAGCAGTGCTGCACTGAGTTGACTTACCTTTACTAGGGGTCAGACTAGTAGTGCTGCCCTGGTTTGATAAGTGCGGCCTCTATCTAGGCTAGGGGGTGTGTCAAAAAACATATATAACCCCCCTAGTTAGGTTATTTATGTTTGTATAGCCTAGCTAGGTCAACTAAGAGGGAGGAGACTTCTTGTGTACTTGTATCTCCCCTTCTCCCTTTCTAGTCACCATTTGTGATCGCGCTGCTTTCACAGTATGGCATCCCACGAAGAAGCATAAATACACGTCTAAGAAGCTATGTGGTTCATGCAGAATGCTATCGTGGTTAGGCATGTCCAATTCCAAATTACAGTTGCTAATCACGTTTTCCGCAAAAGTCACCTCACTTGGCACAGCACCCGTTATGTTGGGCATAGGAGCAAGCATGTGGTTCGTAGGAGCTTGCATGCGTGGGTCCTGTGCGAGAGCGCACTTTGCATCTTAAGCATTGTTAGTGACGGCCATCACCTCGAGCTGATGAGAATGGGGAGATGGCAGATGTTGGAAATGATAAAAGGACTTAAGACATTTCAGGAGTATCGCGTGGCTGTAACAATACGCGAAGGACACAACATCGAGGATTACCGAGTCAAAGTCTGCTACAGTACCTCTGACGGTTGATGCAGTTTGACGACACCTCGCAAAGGTTACAAAAGGGCAACGGTCGCAGATCGTTTGCCGTGCAACCCAACGGTCAGAAGTACAAGAGTCAAGTCAACGCTACAACAAGGACAAAATATCGTCCAGGTATTACAGTACGGTTGGTTACTCGAGTCGCTCTTATCGAGTCGTAAAAGGAATGTACCCCTCGAAGTGCATAAAGAGTTAGATTCTTCATATTCTCTTGTATTATTATATAAACCTTGTATCCCTTTGCTATAATCTATCTCGTGTTCTCACATACCAGTACACGGGTTTACTACGATCGTATTCTGAAGTTGGGCCGACGAGCAAAGTTTTTCCATGCGGCTCGAAATGTCTCGAAATGTATAAAATTGGGAATGCAATGTTGGGCCGTGCACTTCGGCTTTTGCCGAAACCCAAAGTTTCGCCCATGTGCCCTGTGACGTGGGCGCACAACCAACGCGATCAACACATCAGGCGCAAACTGGTACTGCAGGTGAATGCGCCTCGTCTGGACGCGACCCACGTCTACAAAGACGGCCCAGTGGCACGGATACCGTATCATCTGCCCGTAACCACACACAAACAAACGAGGCACGAAACGAATAAGGGGCAGAACTTCCTGGACCCCAAGGTCAGCTCTCAAGCCACAAAAACCAGACATAAACATCGCAATGCATTCTACAGTTTAGCAGTGCAGGTTCGTAGTTTTTGGGGTTGTTGGCGGTTTTTTTTTGTTCCAATGTTGTTGCAGAATTGACCGTCAGGTTGCAACCGCGCATCCGGTACATCCCTCTTTTCGCCTATGGGTCGTAGTCCGTTGTGCGCACTTCCCAGCTGGACGCAAAATTTTGGAGGTCGCATTTTCGCGGTTTGTTTTCGCAGCCGCCTTCGCGAGCGTTTTG